TAGAATAGAATAGAATAGAATAGAATAGAATAGAATAGAATAGAATAGAATAGAATAGAATTCTTTATTGGCCAAGTGTGATTGAGCACACAAAGAATTTGTCTTGGTGCAAAGGCTCTCAGTGTACATAAGAGAAAAGATACATTCGTCAAGAATCATAAGGTACGACACTTAATAACAGTCATAGGGTACAATAAGCAATCAAATCATATTAGGAAACAGTCAATAAAAATTGCTAGGATACAAGCAACTAAGTTACAGTCATACAGTCATAAGTGGGAGGCGATGGGTGAAAGGATGGGAGGATTAATAGTAATAGTAGTGCAGACTTAGTAAATAGTTGGACAGTGTTGAGGGAATTATTTGTTTAGCAGAGTGATGGCGTTGTCCTTGTGACTAGTTGTTCTGGTGTGCAGTGCTCTGTAGCATCATTTTGAGGGAAGGAGTTGAAACAGTTTATGTCCAGGATGTGAGGGGTCTGTAGATATTTTCACAGCCCTCTTTTTGACTCGTGCAGGATACAGGTCCTCGATGGAAGGCAGGTTGGTAGCAATTTTTTTTTTCTGCAATCCTAATTACTCTCTGAAGCCTGTGTCCGTCTTGTTGGGTTGCAGAGCCAAACCAGACAGTTATAGAGGTTTAAAGGTTGTATTTACAGGTGTGGACACTGGAATTGCCTGCTAGTCCAATGTTAATTCTAAATAAATGTATTTTATCTTGGCTAGTCATTTTCTACCCAGAAAAAAGAAATTGAACACTGAACTGGGCTTATCCCTGTAAGAGGACTGAATTTACAAAATTTGGGAAAGTCCAAATATCCAGTTTGATTCAGATGATGGAGGGAAGTTTGATTAAGCTTGTATTAAAAAACTTGAATTACAAACCAGATGCATTTTTGCTTTCCTTTCTCCAATGTCGCAGGTTACAAATTTCATGGGCATTGAGTGGATGAAGAGACATCTTGCTCCGGACTACAGAGTCCATACTATTTCTTTCAAAGACCCCAACCCGATGCACATCGATGCTACTTTTAATATCATTGGCCCCGGGGTCGTGCTTTCTAATCCAGACCGTCCCTGTAATGAGGTAATGGGGCTTCACAGGGGAACGGGGAACTTCAGCTAGTCCTTGACTTATAACCTTTCTAACCACTCTAAATAAGAATGATAGGGGGGGGGGAATTGCCTTCCTAGAGATACCAACTTTCTGTATAGTGAGTTTGGGTATGGGAACAAACCGGTGGGCTTGATGAGCTAATTTTGGTGAGCTAAGAAATATAGAAGAGATATTCCATTTGCTGACGTTTCAAATGTGAGGAATAAGTTGGTGTGTGTTGTTTCTCGTGATGGACAACTTTCGCTGTGTTCCCACAACACACCAAAGGATAGGAATACAATTTGCAAACCACATCATGTAGGCCATATATCTTTTTTAAAAAAATCTTCCTGGCCTAATATGTGAAATTATTCAATTGCATAAAATCATAATATAGCAGGACATATTTTTTTTTGGGGGGGGGGGGGGAAGGGGGCACAGTATGGCTTGCTAGCCATGATTTATGGGTTACTGTGTTATGCAGATCCAATCTTTGTTCTTCAGCATCCTTATCTCTACTTAATGCAATTAAAAGACCGAGGGTCACAATCTGAGGACTTCAGCAATTTCCCATTCTTGCTGCAGCTTTTTTAAAAAGTGCTAAACTTGGACTGTGAATGAAAAAGGAATGTAAGAACATTTAAATACACACTGTCAGCTCTCTCAGGTAAACCAGACAGGAAGCAGGAATAGATGAACTAATTCTTACTTTATTGTAAGGCTGCATTAACAAATTCTTGCAAATCGAAAAGTATAACTTCCTACCGCCAGTCGTAACTGTTCAATCCTTTAGAAAGGTGGATCCTTCCAAGTTTCTTCCTCTGATCATTAAGCCACTGGGGGCTCCTGCCTCTCTTATCTGTTTCCTAGGCAACACCTCGTCCCCTCATTCCTTGACGTCACCCACACATTCCATGACATACACATGCACACAGGAAATCAGACTTTGCTAAAAAGGAAAGAAAGAAGATATTAGCACCAAACAAGATGCAAAGGTTGAAACTGGCATTGGAAGAGAAGCCAATCTTCCATTTTGATCCTATTCTTGGTTGCTGGGCAGATTAAATTGATGATTCACCCATCATTTTTATGTAATAACAGAGAAGCTAAGAGACTTAATAGAAGTGCACAGCTGGAGAACGTATGTAGAAAACAATATGATTTCCAGTGTGAAGCTCTCTGTTTTTCTTCCCGATTCTCTTAGATCGATCTCTTCAAGAAGGCAGGCTGGACAATCATTCACCCACCACTTCCTCTCATCCCTGACAGTAGGTTTGGCTTTGGAAGCCATGACTTGGGAAGCCAATGTTCTATTGTGATGGTTGCATGGTGAGACATCCATGAGTGCTAATGTTTTCATCTCTAGATCATCCACTGTGGATGTCTTCAAAATGGCTTTCCATGAACGTCCTGATGCTGGATGAGAAACGTGTGATGGTAGATGCCAACGAAACCCCGATCCAGAAGCTCTTTGAAAGCCTAGGTAAGACCAATTTAGCTAGATGGGCCAAAATTTCATGGAACAATTATTTTCAGAGTTTGTGTCTGTAGAGCACACGTTTTCCTAAGGATAATTTAACCCAGATTCTTCCAATTCACCATTTCTCCAACTTAAGTGTCCTCCAGAAGCGTGAATCTCTTCTAGATCCAAAGTGCACATTGGAGTTTGGAAGTTCGACATCTTTGAAGGCCACCAAGTCACCAAAAGCTGTTGTAGGCACAAAATGTTGAACTTTACACCTGATCAGTCCTTTTGAGATCTGGAGATATGGCTGGCCTCCTGACCTTGAAGACTCCCATACCCTGATCTTTCTTCAAGGTTAAGAGAAGGCTAAAGCATCTTCATGTTTTAGAGATATGTGAGGTCTCCCTCAAAGAGATACCACTTCATTTTTCTGATCAGCCCTGGGAAAAAAAAGATGTAAGGTGTAAGAGCCATGGTAATGCAGTTATTATAATACAGTCCTGCAGGCTAACTCATGGTTCACTCCAGGAGTTGGATTCTTAGCGCTCAAGGTTGACTCAGCCTTCCATCCTTCCGAGGTCGGTAAAATGAAGACCCAGATTGTTGGAGGCAATAGGCCATGGGTGGGATTCAAATTTTTTAACAACCGGTTCTGTGGGTGTGGCTTAGTTGGTGGGTGTGGCTTGGTGGTCATGTGACTGGCTGGGCGTGGCCAACTCAATATCACTCACATCGAGGTACGCATCTCCTCGCCTGGCCTCTCATGACTGTGGGGATGCTGTAACAGTTGTAAGTGTGAAAAATGGTCATAAGTCACTTTTTTCAGTGCCATTGTAACTTAGAATGGTCACTCCACACAAGCAAAGTACCAGCAAAGGAGGGGAAAAAAACTCCAGAGATGTTCCTGAGACAGGAAGTCTAGTCCTGCCAAGAATGTAATAAGGGTTAATGGAGAGGCAGATTCTGTAAGCAACACCAGAATGTTTCCTTCCTGCCTTCCTTACAGGATTAGGCCAGTAATTTCTTCTAACAACCGGTTCTCCGAACTGCTTAGAATGTTAACAACCGGTTCTAGCGAATAGGTGCGAACCTGTAGAATCCCACCCCTGCAATAGGCTGACTCTGTAAAACCACTTAGAGAGGGCTGTAAAGCACTGTGAAGTGGTATATAAGTCTAAGTGCTATTGCTATGACTCCTCCCTGATTGGACAAACGTTGGGGTCATGGGATTTGAGACCTTCATAGAGTCTTCTTACCAAGGCTTACATGCAGTGCCATAGAAAGCTTATTGCTTTGTATGCCCATGTTTGACTTTTCATTAATTCCATGGGGAGGTGGGGAAATTACCTTCAAGAAATTGCCTTCTCTTCTTTTGTCTGCAGGCATTTCTTTTTTTTTTTAACATATAAAAGTTTTTATTTTAAGACAAACATATACAAAGAAACATAAAAATGTAAAACTGTCTTCCATTTTATATACATACAGTGTGTCAGTTGGTTACAAATCTTTTGTGCTATCCTTTTGTAGTCATTACTCACAGTTTATATAAATTTTCCCATTGTCAAACTAACATATGTTTATATATTTATCAGTTATTTATCATCCATGACTAAACTATTTATTCCATCGTTTTATACAAGATATTCCAAATTTTATTTTAAAATTTATATTGTACTTTCATCCAATGGTTATATATGTCTGTATTATATTTTATATCAATCTATTGAACTTCTATTACAAAATTATCTAAGCTATTACATTACCATGTCTTTTCGTCCAACCATTGATAAAACAAATCCCATATCATAGAAAATTGCTTATCTTCTTGCTCTCTAATTTTAAATGTCAATTTACTCATATCAGCACAGTCCATAATTTTGTTAATAACTTCCTCCTGCATAGGTATATTTTTTTCATTTTTCCAATTCTTGCCTGCAGGCATTTCAACCATCAAAGTGAACATCCGCCACGCCAATTCCTTGGGAGGAGGGTTCCACTGCTGGACCTGTGACATACGTCGCCGTGGCACCTTGAAGTCTTATTTTGATTAGGAGGAGGTCTGTCTGAAGCACAGGCCACCATCCAATGGGAATACATGAGTTGTAAGATGAAGAGGGTAGCTTCCCCTGGCTCCTTTAAAAGAAAAATCAGCGTAGATGCATGAGTTGCTGTGCTTTGAATCAGGTTCCTCCTCCTCCTAACTTGTGCCCTCCCTATCCCCAGGTGCATCCTAAGGGTCTATTTACACATGATGAACTGGGAACTAGGACCATAGGTAATTAGTGCTCCTTGATAGATGATTGGCATTGGAGAGATTGCTTCCATTACTTGGGCAGGTATTCTGCGATTTACACATCTGAGTGGACATTGTGACTATATACACAGAAGCAAGTGTTGTGTTTTTGAGTTAGTTTACTACAAGCTGATAGGGCTGCAGCCTTATTCACAAAATTGACCTCTTTACATGGTCGTATTACATGCCTACACAGATAACATGCCATCAGTGAAGATGGGGGGAAAAACCCTTTCTTGTCATACGCAACGTTGAATAGTCTTGTTTCATCATGACCGTAGTCATTTAGGCCCATGACTGCTTAAGCCAGAAGAAGCATAGGACATCAGGGCCCTTAAGAGTTGGGATGGGGCTAAGTTCCATAGGCTCAACATTTCAGGACCAAGGAGAGCAACTTCATGCAGGTGGTCCTTGTCTTATGAAAACAGTTGTGGTTGCAACTTCCATTGCTAATGTAGTCACTTAATGAGTCACATCCTATTTTACAACCTTTTTTTTCCATGGTTGTTAAGAGAATTCCATGGTCATTAAGCCAATCTGGCTTCCCCCGTTGAGTTTACTTTGTGTAAATCCCATTGAAAGCAATATAAAGGTCCTACAGTCTTCGAATACGCAAGGGCCTTCCTAAAATAATGTGTAGCGAGCTGGCCCTTAGACCGGAGAGGGGGGTCTTCCAGCTGGCATTTTGGACAACATCTGGACTCTCCCTTTTTTTAATCTTCACTCCAAGAATATGCAGTTTTGTGATAACCTCCTAGATTCCTGAGTTTCATGGCTGACATTACAAATCTACCTCTGTTGAAACCTATTACAGGAAGGCAGCTAGAAAAGATTAATTGAATGTGAATCTTTCCAATCCCATTTAATAGTCTTTAAGGTTCGATCAGAAGATGATACAATGTGTAATTTAAGGCAAGACAGAAAAACCAGAGATGGGCCCAAATTTGTACTACTTTTGTATTTTACACTATTTAGGTTAAGATAATTTTTTTTACAAAATGCATTCTTATGCAGATGTTACTTAAACTACACCAGGCTTGTGAACTGCTGACTTTTATAAACCTTGCTAGACCCAATGATTGTATTAGACTACAGTCCCCATTACTCCCAGCTAAAGTTAGAACAATTAATCAGTGGGACAGGTTGTGGAGGCTTTTCAGACGAGATTTGACAACCATTTGTCTGAAATGGTACAGATTCCAACTGAGCAGTGGGTTGGACTAGAAGACCTCCAAGGTCCCTTCCAATTCTGTTATTCTGTTTCTCTGTTAATGTCCAGTTGCTATACTTTGATGAGAAGTTATATATGGTGAAGGTCACATTTGGGCTTGTTGGCAGTAAAGTGAAAATTATTCATGTTCTGGATATCAGATGCATGGAGCTTTTCCCCCCACCAAGAATGGGTGGCTATTAGATGGATCAAAAGAGAGATTTGCATTGCTGGACAAGGAAGATATTTGTCCTAGAAATGTATGATTTGTCTGCTCCCCAACGTAAGTCATCACATATAGCTGCTTCAGAAGAATTATATCCACTGCTATCTATTAAGTCTCTAAATGCTTCCGTTTAATTCCCTTTTTCCCAAATCTTTGATTAGATGCCTCTAGTCTGAAAATGCTTCCCTCCCAATGTATTTCCAGTCTTTTAGTATTTTGTACCCTTTTCATTTTTGCCTTACTTTGTTTCAGTCTTTCCTTGATGGGTGCCAATCTAACCCAGGTTGTTTGGCAGAATCTGTTTACATAAATCAAATGTACTTAATAATTCTTGGCAGAAAGCACATGATTAACCTAATGCTACCTAAAAAGGATTTATCTATGTATTTATGCCAATAAAACACCTTTGCACTCATGCAGTTTTGAGATTGTTTCTTTCGTATGCTACCAGGTTGATTGATTTTTTTTTACTTCCTGGGCAAAATATTTTGACAGTGATTTACTGGAGCTCAGAGGCTGAACAACTCCATTGCCATGTCTTTGCATGTAAAGGTAAAGGTTCCCCTCACACATACGTGCTAGTCGTTTCCGGCTCTAGGAGGCGGTGCTCATCTCCATTACAAAGCCAAAGAGCCAGCGCTGTCCGAAGACGTCTCCGTGGTCATGTGGCCAGCATGACTAAACACCAAAGGTGCATGGAACACTGTTACCTTCCCACCAAAGGTGGTCCCTATTTTTCTATTTGCATTTTTTACGTGCTTTCAAACTGCTAGGTTGGCAGAAGTTGGGACAAGTAACGGGAGCTCACTCCGTTACGCGGTGCTAGGGATTCGAACCGCCAATCTTTCTGATCAACAAGCTCAGCATCTTAGCCACTGAGCCATGGCGTCCCCTTTCTTTGCATGTGGCAGACCTCAGATTTAACATTTGGCATCAGAGTAAGACTGGAAACTTTATATGTAGTCCTTGTTTAGCAACCAAGCTTTGCACCAGCCACCACTGTCACAAAGTGTGGAATTGTGTGATTGCAACTGGGCTTCCTGCTTAAAAGTGACAAGACTAAACAGTTTCATACTTTTCACTCCCCAACCCTTTGGAATGTTCATCCTGATGCTGGGATAATTATCAAGTTGGAATTAATGTATGTATTTACATTGGAGAGTCATAAGGTCATAAGGCAGTCCCGGCTACGATGGTTCGGCCATGTGAGTCGCGCCAAGGAAGAATCCATCATCAAATCTGCGATGAAGGTGATTGTCGGAGGAGCGAGACCGCGTGGTAGACCTAAGCAACGCTGGATGGACACGATCAAGGCCGATCTAGAGATCGCGAAGGCAGACCCGACATACGTGGCAGACAGAGAGGTGTGGAAGCAGTACTCAAGGACATTAGCGGACCTCGCCAGAGCGCGAGACAAACGCTGAAGAAAAAGAAGAAGAAGAATTTACATTGGAGAGGAAGGGATTATAAAAGAGTAAACAAACATGCATGGGGAATACACATTGAAAGTGTGAATCTGACTGTTCTCTCCCTACTTCGTTCTAAAATTAGCAAGTTGGAATTAATGTATATATTTACCTTGGAGAAGAAGGGATTATAAGAGCGTAAACAGGCATGCACGGGGAATACATACTGAAAGTGTGAATCTGACTGTTCTCTCCCTACTTCGTTCTGAAAGCTTTTTTTCACAGCCTGGGATAGAATCTCACCTGATGGTAAAAGCTTGGATTCCCCCCCAAGATGCCCTTTCTAGCGGGTGTTTGCTTTTATTTTTTAGTCGTGTTTTGATTTCTTTTGCAAAGTTGCACCCTGGGGGAAAAGAAACGGAGGTGGAAACTGCACTAGAGGGCAGTGTGGTAGCGCCAAACATTTTGCGGGAACATCCAGTTATTTTTGTTATTTTTCAAACTGCCTTTTGATTTACAAAGCAAACCTTCTCAAGTCACATCACAAATTAGAAGATTAAGAAGATAAAGTGCAACATGAGTGCAGGCAAAATGAGCCAAGGCAGAACAACTTCTTGTGGTTAATTAACTAGCCACATTTCCATCCTGTCCCACTCTAACTCGGAGGCAAGGGGATGTATTGTGAGTTCAGCTGAGCCGTCTCAAAAGACAAAGAAGCAATGCAGTGCAACCGAAAATCTTGCTCTTTACCCACTAGGCATCACAATCCTAAAAGACCCATTTAAAAAGGAAGATTTAGGCCAGGATGGATTCTTTGGGGAAGGATTTGGATCTGTTTTTGTTTTTCCTCCAAGCAATTGGATCCCATCTTGTTTTCTTCTGTATTGTGTTTTTATTGCTTGTTGTATTGTGAATTGCCCAGAGCTGCTATGGAAGCGAACATCACCTGCATTGAAACCAACAAACAATAAATATGCTTTCCAAAAGCTTGAACAGGGCTAAGTATATCTCTAGGGACACTGTTTCACATTATTGAATAAACCATTAAAATGTAAAATAAGGGCAGCAAAGACTTATAGAATTTTTTAAAAGCTACGCAGTTGTGCCAGGTGAACCTCCTTAGGGAAGGGCAATCTATAACCAGGGGTCTCAGTCACTGAGGTTGCTCTTCTCTGTACCTACTCATTCAACATTATCCCACAGATTGGGACTTTATTGCCTATAATTCAGGGGTCCCCAAACTTGGCAAATTTAAGACTTGTGGACTTCGACTCCCAGAATTCCTCAGCATAGCTAGGCTGGCTGGAGAATTATGGGAGTTGAAGTCCACAAGTCTTAAACTTGCCAAGTTTGGAGACCTCTGGCCTACATAGCTGCCTCAGAGAGGAGTTTATTGATATATTTTCAGACTCACTTTTCTTCCTCAAGAGTAACCCTCACAACCCTCCTGTGAGGAACTGAGGACTGAGAGGAAGTGACCTCCTCCAAATGATTGGGGCAGTGGTGGGATTATTATTTTTTTACTACCAGTTCTGTGGGCATGGCTTGGTGGGCGTGGCTTGGTGGGCGTGGCAGGGGAAGGATACTGCAAAATTCCCATTCCCTTCCCTGCCCCACTAACCTGCTTTCCAGCTCCGTTCTCCTGTGCAGGGCAACAAAAGAAGACCCAGCCGATCAGCTGAGACTCAGGGGGAAGAGAATAGATGGGGTTGGCGGGGCCAGTCAGAGGTGAGATTTGCTGGTTCTCCAAACTACTCAAAATTTCCACTACCGGTTCTCCAGAACTGGTCAGAATCTGCTGAATCCCACCTCTGGATTGAGGGAGCTCCATTGTAAATTGACGGTTTCAAGAAAGGCCTCGCCGCAAAGCCCCAACACTTCAGCCACCGTAGAACATTGTTCCCCAAGCTATTCGGACC